ATAAGGTAAATGTGTTTTCGCAAGCTTACGATAGATGGCGTTAACATATGCATTTCCGGTTATAGTAAGGTACTCTGTGACAGAAACTGTGTGATGATTGTGAATGAGCCACAGATTAGAGAGATTTTTAAACTCTCGGTAACCAAAGAAAGCTAAGAGATTTAAGTTCTATAGCCATATATTCAGTAACTTCATTATTTTGTTATGTTTTTAAGATAACCTTATTTTAGATTTTTAGTGTATCACACCTTATAATTTTATTAATTTATAGTCAGGCAACGTAGGCCCATAGATAGATACCTTAAAGTCTAACATATATACAGATTATAATGTGTTTATTGAGGGGTTTGGCGAAAAATGTATGGCAATAGACTTAATGATGTCGCCTACCATCTATAATAATTGTCTGAGCACATTTGCATCTAGTGAAAATGATAATAAAGTTGTGGGTATTAATACCACATTGTAATAAAAAAAATAGATTTGTTTTTATGTTATATAAACAACTTCGATCAGTGTTTGGCTGAATGTTACTACACCCATAGCCCTTAAAAATGATTCGTATGTTTTCCAAACCGGTAAAATTAAAAGTCCACTTTAAAGTAAATATATTATACAAAGGTGTCCGTTGAAATCTAATGACTGTAAATTAAATTATAAATTATGCCAAGAATTACCGTGTATGTCAATATTTTTTGTGCATTTGAGCAATCTCCTTTGGACATGACAATATGCCTAACCTATGTTTAACTTAATATTAATTAATTATTGCATGACTTGCATGCCTGTTGGATGTAGTCTGTAAGCTGGCATGTATGTATATATTTAAATAATTAATATTATTAAAGGAAGGTAAGTATTTACATCTGAAATAATGAAATCGTTAAACAATTATATCTTTTTACAATAATTTCTGCGATTACTACGTAGGACTAAACTACAAAGTTACCTATATGTAATGTATTAAACAATAGGGGTGATGACGGGGTACAGTAAACGAAATTCTATTTAGTCCGTCAGTTAGATGATAAAAAAATAAAAGACACGTATTTTTTCTTTGGGCAATCAACCAAAAAATGACAAAGTTATAGCGCGTCAAAGTTTGGGAGTAGGGGCTCGTGACGTTACTTTTGAGTGAATTTTCGCTTAAAAGTGTACTCAAACGTGACGTCATGCGATTTTTCAAATCAATATATCTCTGCAATGTTTATATTATGTGAAAAAGAAAAAATACGTGTCCAATACTTTTTGATATTCTACTTGATAAACGAAGAAACAAAAATAGTCATCATCCCTATTACATGATAAGATTTTATAATGTATGCAGAATAATTAGATTTTTGTATAAATATATTATTTTATGCCATTATTATTATTCTTTTTATTCAGTTACAGTCATTTTTTAAACATTTTGATATACTTAATAGTGTAGGTATTCCTAAAGGGTTTAGGGACCTATATTGGGTTCACTACAAAGATTTCTTTAACAAGTTAGTATCAAGTCATTAGTTCCCTTTTAATCATACCATGCATGTTTCAAATAACGCCGCTATTACAATAAATATGTATGTAAAGGACATTGCTCGTTCCCCATACATTGAATGCCCCATAGCGCACAGCAATGATGCATGCTAGTTGTATTCGGAATCATTCATAAACTGTCATCAGGTATTTGTTGAAATACGGACAAGTTGAGGAACCGTTGTCTACTCCAGAATGTATTGATTTTGAGGTTATAATTATCTCTTATCTATTAGACAAGTCCGTCTGTCTGTGGTGCTGTTTCAGCGGCCAAACCGTAAGAGATAAATAAAGAGAATATTTAAGTTATAAGTTAAGAATAGTCTGATAAGACTACAAACCGGATTTGAGTAACGTAGCACTTCCGGTTTTCGAGAAATCAGGTTTTGGTGAACATTTGGATCACTGGTTTGCTAGTTATACATAATCGTAAAAGATGTACACTTTATATACTGACTCTCAATACATTTATTGTTCACTCTATAGAAGCACTTAAATAATATGAATTTACTGAATATAAAATAAAATTAATAATAAGAATAATAAATGCTCATATTCATATTGATTTGTGAGTGTTGGCAGTTGGCACCTATGATACCTATACCTGTTAAATAATAGATTTCTTTTCAAACGAAATGTTAAAAGGCTTTCCATTTACCTGTTTCTATTATTTATTATTGGTAATAAGGTATGTACCTGGTTATCATTATGATTTTCATAAAAAGAAACAGATATTATATGGGATGGGAGTATAAACTATCTTTACATAATTTCATAAATTATCTATCTTTGACTGATTGACGACCTCCGTGGCCGAGTGGTTTGTACGCCGGGTTTCATGGTGTCGCCGACTCGAGAGGTCCCGGGTTCAAATCCCGGTGGGGGTAGATGTTCGTGTGATGAATACGAGCATTTGTACTCCAGTCGTGGATGTTTAATATGTATTTTCTATATAAATATACTTATATATGTGCAGTATATGTATTCTATCCGTTACTCTAGCATCCCATAACACAAGCCTTACAGTGCTTACTTTGGGGCTAGGCTAATTGGTGTGAGTGTTGGAAATATTTATTTATTATTATTTATTTATCTATAAATATAAATACTGCTGATAATTATTAGTATTATTAACTAAGGAGGGTAGGTACCTAGTTCTATTCTTTTGTTAATAATTACCGATAGTTGCGTATATTGCAGTTATTAAGGCTATCTATAACAAAATAGTTGGAATAGGATTGAATAAAAATAACACTTTTATTTGAAACTAGTGGCCCGCCCTCGCTTCGCTTCGGGGTAGATTTGAACAAAATCCTTTCTTAGCGGATACCTACGTCATAACATCTACCTGCATGCCAAATTTCAGCCCGATCCGTCCAGTGGTTTGGGCTGTGCGTTGATAGATCACTATGTCAGTCAGTCACCTTTGAGTTTTATATATATAGAAGATTTTTGAATTTCATTATTTTAAGAAGCTTTTGAATTGAGATGAGATGGTCTCATAAGGCTCTAAGGATGACATTATAGCAATTTTTTTAGTATATTGTTTTAAACTATCATGGTCACTAACATTATAGTAATAATATCGGAAACTCGCTAAAAACAAGGTACATGGTAACAATCCCGTAAATAAAATTGTGTAGTAGTTACAGAACTTTTTATTTTTATTTTTGAAGTGAAAACTTCTTTAGCTCGTTGTACATTTTTTTTGCGTCTGGTTAAACACGTAGGCTGATCGCATACACACGTGACACACAAGAAAATTGGAAAGGTTGTTGACTTTCAATATATTGGACGAAACATAGTAATATTTTATTTTATCTTTGTATTATAATAATAAGTCTCTATCTAGGACGTCCACGTGGCAGCTTTATTGCGAAGAAAATGCATTTTTTTAACAATAGATGTCACTAGGTGCGCTTAAACGTGATTCATGTAAGTTGATTTTTCCGAGAGATAAACTTATTAATGTAATAGAAATTGTCATGTTTGTGTACGATAGAGCAAAAAATAAATATTGTATTCTACCACATGCATAATAGTACTTTTATACTGATAATTAAAGCAATTATTCCCTAGCCATTCCAAAATATCAAAAATGCACAACGTTAATAGTCAAGTTTTCACTTCTGCCGGCACTCCCGGAGTGCAACCCGTCGTTTTTTTTTATCACAGAGTGTCCGATTACTATGATTAATTGCTAATTAAGTAAAAAAATAATAGAAAAATAATAGTGAAGGAGATTCGTTTGTGCATGCTGGGGCACATTTCATCGATTTCGTTTAAGAATAATAAGTGCCTATATTCATTTTCTACTCATAAATCTTCTATGGATTCTCCAATTTGTGACTGTCGTCGTCTTTGTTGATGTTTAGCTTAAACAGGAAATCATAATCAAAAGTCATTTATTCAGTCTAGGCTGTTACAAGCACTTGTGAATGTCAAGAAGCTACGCCATCGGTTCGCAAAACTACGGCCGGAGACCTTGTACTGAGAAGAACCGGCAAGAAACTCAGCAAGGGCTGTTTTTTCTCTCTGTATTGTTATATACAGAGTCGTCAAGTTGAAAAATTACTTCAGAGATACTTCTGAAGTCACCTTCCATTACATCATTTAGAATATGTATATAAAGTTACAATAAATTTAATAGTTAACTTTATATTTAGTATATAGGAAGCGGCATTACATAGGTACCATATTACTGTTACGAAAAATGACTAATACCCATCAATCAACAAATTACAAGAAACACTATGTCCATGCATTATGATCATTTAGATAATCATGAACTTTATAATAGTTCTTATTCATAAGAGTATTCTTGATCTGAGATTTAAATTTGGTCAGTGGAAGCTCAATCAGATCTTGGGGGACTTTATTCAACAATGCAATACTACAACCCAGAAATGAACCTCTTGATTTTTGGAGTCTGCTGAAACATGGGACGGCAAGCATGTTCTAAAATCTCGTGTTAAAGTTATGGGTTTGACTGCATTTTGCAAATGCGTCATAGTTTTTTGTTTACATATATTATGCTTTCATAAATGTATTGCAATGCCAGTGTTAAAATATTCATCATCATCAGCCTATTAATGTCCCCACTGCTGGGGCACAGGCCTTCCCTATGGATGGAATAGGGAGAATGGGCCATGACCCACCACGCGGGCCCAGTGCGGATTGGTGGGTGCTAACGACTGCAGATACAGCCGGGACCAATGGCTTAACGTGCCTTCCGAAGCACGGAGGAGTTCGAGATAGTAAATTTTTGGTCGGATGGGTATCCGATGACCGACCACTGCCAAAGTTGCTTAACTTCAACGATCGCAGCCGAACGCGAACCACTTGCGCCATCAAGGTCCTCGTTAAAATATTAATTTCTTTAAACTTTTATCTAAGATATTCTCTTGCCTTTAAGGTGTTTGAGGCATGAACAGCTCTCACGACAGACAGATTAAATTCTTACCCCTTTTTTGTTACAGGAATGCGTTTCGCTTATCGCAGTATTTGGTACGCCTTTGCCTCTATTATGCTGAAGTACCGTTTGCAGCCGATCCCGGGTACCAAAATGCCTGTAAGGTTTGAAAACGAGAGCAAGGCTCTGGTCATAATGCCGGGAGGACAATCATATGTTCAATTCGTGCCTAGATCGTAACATTATATTGAGATTTTCTTTATTGTTGATTATTAAACTTTATTTCGTTAACATTTTGTAGTATATTTATATTAAAGACCCGCTCGGGCCAGAGGTTAGTGATCCTAGCTGCGAAATCAATGGGGCCGGGTTCGAATCCCGAAGGGGGTTTTGTGATAAAAACCAGCCAAGTACGAGTCGGACTCGCGCACCGAGGGTTCCGTACAAACCTGTAGGTATATTTTAATAATTATTATTAAAAAATATTTTTTATTTTATGATGTTACTACGAGTAAAAATTTACGGTTTTCGCATTTTTTCCTTTGTCTGTACTATAAGACGTTACTTCGCACCAAATTTCAAGATTCTAAGTTCACGGGAAGTACCCTGTAGGTTTTGATTCCCGTGTGAGCTTCGAAAATTTACGGAAATTACGGCATAAACGGCTGTATCTTTTGATTGCTGTAGATCTGAGATTTAGATATAAATTTCAGTTTGATACCTCCACGCATTCCTGAGAAAAACGGTCTTGACAGACGGACGGACGGACGGACAACAAAGTGATCCTATAAGGGTTCCATTTTTTCTTTTTGATGTACGGAACCCTAAAAACGTTCATTTTCCTGCCTGTCATGGATATTTATATATTTAAGTATGTTTATACGTTATATAGCACCCATAGTACACACTATGATTACTTTAATTTTTTTTTTCATTTTTAACATATTGTAGTTAAGTAATATTGTAACAATCCCGATAATTGTATTTTATGTGAAAGTTAACAATAATAATAACAAAATATGTGATTAACATTAAACACGACAGCATTTACAATAAAGAATAATACGAACTATTAACTTTTATTTTCATATAAGCATTCAAAAACCTATACTAAACTGTAAACAAATTGGGCTTAAATACGAACCCTGTGGCAAACCTCGAGACATTTATTTAAGTGATGAAAATATTGAGGCTCTTTGCCCCCTATTCTATAATAATTATATTTATTTACACCAGCATATAAGTAACATTACGTCTTATAAACTATGGACACCAGGAGCTTAAGAATATAAAAGACAATCTTTAGCGTCTGCTGCCGAACTAGGATTTTCATACTGTATTTCAGCATACAGAGTGCCTCAATCCTCAGGTTTAGACAATTACTTGTATCCTATAAGCTAGTGAAATAAGTTTCTTGTAATACTTAATAGTGATATTACAAGAAATACTTATTTGAATTTTATAAAACTGTTAAAATAAAAATTGTGTAAGTGAATGACCTCTCTGTGTGTAATGAGGATGTGTAAAAGTATGCATGAAAAAGGTCCAATGGATTCTTAACGATGACAAAAATTTTATTCTTAAATTATAATCACACTAATATTAAAAAGGCGAAAGTTTGTGAGTGTGTGAGTGTGTTTGTTTGTTACTTCTTCACGTCTAAACGGCTGGAGCGATTTTAATTAAATTTGGTATTTAGTTAGCTGACACCCTGGATTAACACATAGGCTACGTTTTACTGCGGGAAAATATCCCTAATAAACCACGAGTAACACCGTGGGGCACAGCTAGTTCAATGTAAACTTAATAACATGTGCACAATCATCATAACAGAACTAAGTTAAAATTATATTATCGTTGTATAGAAATAAGCTTCTCTGTCTCTTCATATGATTTTGTCATAAGAAAGGATGATACTATTGGTCAGGTGCCATTTAAACATATGCGTGTGGACTGAGTGATCTTTTCAAAAAACTCATCCAATCACAACCAAATTATAAGAGGATTTAGGAAATAATTGTGAAAACTCAATGGTAAGGTAATGGTAATGGTAATTTATAACAAACATGATAATGTTTCATACTTTTTCAGTATAAGGTAGTGTTTTAAAGGATCACTCAAATGAACATAGTGCATTCTGAGTGATCCATATAAACCGTTCTAAATCTTAAACGTGGCTTTGAAATGGATCGAAAATTTGTTTAGCAGCTTTCACAAATTCTTCACAATTATTTCAAATACAGATTATAAACACATAGGTAGTAATAATTTTTATTATTTTTAAAGCATGTAACTGCTTGATGTTTAAATCTAAAGAAAATATAACTAGAAAAAATTCCACGCGGACCAGGCAGCAGACGGGACTCGAACCCGCACCCTTCGCAATCCGGGCGAATGCACTGACCAATTATGCTACCGCGGCCCTCACGGACCGCGTCGAAATTCCCTCTAGCTATTCTTAAGCTGCAAGGCAGCGCCATCTCTTCGCATTATAGGTAGTATTTTCTTGGATACGCGTTATGGCTTATTCTTCAGGTGTCCAGATTGAGTGATCCAGTTAATTAGTTCTAACTTTCTTTGGTTAGGTTTCACAATTTTTTTACCTTACCATTAAGTTTTCACAATTATTTCCTAAATCCTCTTATAATTTGGTTGTGTACTAACAGGTATACACTGTCCAACAACCGCATTGGCTTAGCTTTTTTACCAGCAGTAACTGTGGTTATAAGCAATCGAAGGCTTGCGAATAGTCCAACAATATTAATACATTACTTGGTCTCTGAGAAATTGTCTTGGCAGAAGTCCTTGAACGAAGGATGACACTTTTGGATTATCATTGCTGTCTATTAGCTAAGCATTTGTTGCAAAACTATCCTTTATATATGCACGAATATATACACACAAACACACATACACACACTCACACACACACACACGCATGTAAAATGGCGCCTTGCACACATCTCGCCCTTGTTTGATAGAGGGTTTTCTAAACTTTTATGCTATTACTAAAAAATGAAAATCCGTAATTGGCATTAAGATAAACCATATTGTAAAACCTGTATTATATTAAGAAAATGCTGTGGATTTCGGTCTAGAATTAAATAAATAAATTAAAAATAAAATAAACACTTTCGATAGTATTTACGTAAGAGAAAGGACAAACATCGTTTAGTTTATCTGTTAGTGGTTTTTGAGTATCGTCATAGCTTAACTGTTCTTCCTCATTTTACCTTTAATTCGGTATTTATTTTATTTTTATTATTGTGTTATAACTTCTCTTATTAATAAATACATTTATCACATAAATGGTACAAAGTTGGCTTGCTCTGTTCATGTAGTTTTGGGAGTGGAGGCCTGGTGTCTTGTAGGTTTATCTTATTGCAAGCACCAGTCTTTACATTAAGTAATTAAATGTTGTAATTAAGCACTTTATTGTAAATGTTTTTTTTTATACTTATGTGAAGAAAAAAAAAATAAAGAATTTATTATTATTATTATTAAAAATTTGTGGGGGTTCGATCGATATGAATTATCGTTGGGGTAATAAAAGTTTTCATCAACATAAGCTTAATAATTTTTATATTTTAACCATCTTGGCTTAACAAACTTTTGAGTTACTATTTATATCTGCGTTTGTCTTTTTCAGTAGCTGGATTTAATTCAAATGTATATTGTGGTAGATGTGAAAAATATTTTTTAACACATTTGCTCAAAAAATACATTTACGGAGGTTGTTTTCATTGTTCCAAAATTCATAATTATGGGCCATACAACGGAGCGTGCGGTAAAACATTTTATCGCACGCTGCCATACATGGCGCCGTGCGTATCCTTTACGTTTTTTTTTTAATTTCGATCAAACCTCCTTGAATGCATTTTTAAACTATACCTTCGTCTCACTTTAATACTAAAAAAAAAGACGGAAGATTAATTTTCATCAACCGCACGTGACGGACTTTTTGGCGGGATCGGGAAGCGTCACTTTAGCAGTTATGTTTTTCTTGTTAAAAATTGTGTTGTGGCGGATGTTAGTGTCTAATAATGGTGGATTATTAACCACTAAGTGTTCGGAAACATGCACAAGTGTTGGCAAGTGAAACAAAATAGCGGAAAGTGTCTTTCGACGTTCCCTCAAGAAGTCCACGGGGAGGTTCCAGTAAATCCCCACGCATTTACTGAAACATAGGGAAAGGGGGATTGACTTGACTGCCACTTACTTTGACTTGATTTATTATTTTGACCAGTGAGTGCTAGAGTCTGTGCGGAAAGAGAATGGGATTTAGATTGGAGGGCACTGTAGTGCTTCTCTACCATATTTGTAAGGTTTTACCCCTTTTAGACATAATTAAATACAAAAAACCACAAGAAATCACAACAACAAACAAATCCGTGTCAATACAAAACTTTGACGTAATTACAACATTACATTACAGTAACTTTGACGTTACACAGATTGCTGGGTTTGATTGCCAAATAAAAATCTTAATGTTAGTTCCGTTTTTCAACGTGGCTCAGTAAGTGCAAGCGCGGGATGGTCGGCAGGCTTTTCTCATATCTGGTTGTATAGTACGATATGGCATATTATTATGGTTACTAATAATATAAAAGAAAGGCACTATAAAATGAATTTATTTAGCTACTTAAATATGTCCATGTGTCATATCTTTTGACTACCAGGATATTTTTTACGGTGTCATATCTTTTGACCCCCAGGATATTTTTTTACGGTGTCATAATAAAAAAGTGCTAGGTTTTCATAGATCTATTGATTCATACTTATTACATTGTTGGCGGAGCTGGGTGTGTTTTGCCCATTGTCCTTTACGTATTTTTATAAATACTGCGTAGATAACATAACAATGTCGACAAAAGAATAATTAATAATTAAAAAAAAAAAGCAGTCCTTGCTGAGTTTCTTGCCGGTTCTTCTCAGTACAAGGTCTCCCGCCGTAGATTTGAGAACCGATGGCGTAGCTGTTCGACATTCACAAGTGCTTGTAACAGCCTAGACTGAATAAACGATATTGAATTTTGAATTAAGCAGTGTGTCTACAGTATTTAAGAAAAGTGTCACATAATTGTAAGGGAAAGTTATTGTACGAAACAAACCCAATGATAGTTGATCTAACAATTTTTATTTCGATATTACCTATAATATAATAGCTTCAACATATTGCGAAATACCGCGCGTAAGTGACTTATACATAATTGTTTCTAAGTGACCTAAATTACTACGAT